TACCTTCCAGCTGCAGCGATATGGACCATAAGACACTGCTCATCAAGATCCAGGCAAGATTTATTCAGAACCGAGCTTCCAGGGTCTTGATGGTGCGGATCGCTCTTGCCTGGCTCCACATTTCCACCACAATCGAAGCCTGAACTCCCAGACCTGCCCTCATCACACACCGCCATCAAGACCCGGTCAGGACCATGGACAGGGCTCAGGACCATGGACAGGGCTCAGGACCATGGACAGGGCTCAGGACCATGGACAGGGCTCAGGACCATGGGGAACCGGGCGTTTGAAGCTGGAATCCCCCATCTGTGGTTACTGTTTTTTACACTACAGCACTTTGAGATTTGGTGTCAAAGTGCGATACAAATAAAATGGATTATATGTATTCAGGAGAGAGGTGACCTCACCTCGGGTCACTGCACTTCCTGAGTCAGCAGATCCACGGATGACATCACCGTGGCCGGGGCAATCTGAAGAGGATTCCTACGGGTTTTTGTCATTATAAAAGTAAGTTCTTTGGGTGACAAGTTTCAGCAGAAAAGTGTTATTAGAGAAGAACAGATAGATACATAATAAACATATAAATCTTGTTTCTAAACTGTTCTTCTGCTGTTCTTCATTATAACATAGAGATTTTACAGTTTTATTGATGCTAGAGTTAGAGATTTTTTTTATTTTAATGCGTATAGCTATTGTTCACTAAACTTGTGCCGTGTCTTTCCTGCTGTTCTGTAACTTGTGATACAACACTGAAATTTCCCCACTGTGGGACCAATAAAGGACCTCTTAATCTTAATCTTAATCTTAAAACACACACAGGTCTAAAACCCCTCGTTAGTCCGATTGGATTGTGTCTCTTTGGCGAGCTAGTTTTAGGTTGATTTTTGCAACTTATTCTGAAATAAGTAAAATCTTGGTTAATTTTTTAACTAAAATAACATAAATGATGCTTAGTATTTTAATGGAAACTCCTTCTTCTTGAATTTACCTGTAATCAGATTATTTTACTAGTTTTAAGGTAATACTTTATAATCATATTAGAGAAAAAGTCTGAGCAGTGAGTTTTGAAGACTGTTAAGAAGTTTTTTTTCTTATTTCCAGACCTTTCTTGTTGTTTAGATAAAAAAACGTTTGTGATGCTGTATTTTAAGAATAAATTCCTCAAAAATGTTTAAGAAATAAGTAAATAATACTTTAAATGTCATCTGGGGCTAGTGTTGTTTTATTCAGTCATATTTTCTTGGTCCATTGGCAGATATTTGTTATTATTGTTGTTATTTTAAGCAGTACTTTAGTTATTTTCATATATTTTTCAAGGTATTCTTTTCAAGTGTCCTTAGTCCGATTGGATTGTGTCTCTTTGGCGAATCAGTTTTACGATTTTTGCGACTAATAAAGCAAATATTGTTGTTTTGGTCGTCTCTGTCCAGATCATGTCTAACTATAAATAAGATTACTATACTCATTTCTTTGGGCAGACGCAGTTTTCACACGAGCGGAAGTGGCTGAAAAAGCAACAATTACCGCTGTTTTCTCCCGAGAGACAAAGCTCATGGGAAAAGGACGAGTGAGGGATGTTTAATTGATTCTCCATCAGCAACGACATTATGCAGATTTTGTACCAGGAAATTCTCATTGTTTAAGTTTGTGTTCAGTGACCATTGTTCTGACACCTGCAAGTAAGTAACGTTTATTTATATGTGGCATTTTACAGATTAATCTCACCCAAAGCGCTCTTCAATGTTCAGAAATCAAATATTTTTTCCCACACACACACATGGTGGGGACGGAAGTGAGACGTGAACACACTGGTCCATCAAAGCCTCCGACCAAACACCCTCCATTCAAGCACTCATTACATTCAGACCTATTGTGCATGTTTTTGGTGGTGGCGGAAACCGGAGCACCCCGAGGAAACCTATGCAGACACCGGGAGAACATGAAAAATCCATTCAGAAAGGCCCGACCGAGATTTGATCCCAGGACCTTCTGGCTGCTAACCACTCAGCCACTCAATAAACCAATGTTCTACTGGCTGTGGCATCAGGGCCGTCGCAGCTGGTCCTGGTACAAATAGTGAGTTTCCCGAGTGAAAAGTGCTGGGTGCACAGAGTCTGAGGTTCAGTTGAATTATAGATGGAGCTCTGGGTTTCGGTCCCAAACCAGTTCTGCTCCAATGGAAACATCAGTGGCAGAGAATGACACGTCTACGATCCAATTATGTGTCCGAGCCGCTGTCAGCGCCTCCTGCTGCAGCCTCAGGACCAGCGCAGCCTTTACATTATCCACAGCAGTTGAAACGGCATACTCAATGAGGCGATGGAAGAACAGACTGAAGGAAGGGTCTGGAGTGAGAGGGAGTCAGAGGGTCCCACGGGGCTCTGCTGACGGAGGTCCTGCTCCATACTCTCTGGCTCTAATGGGAGCCTCGTGGGCGCTCGATGTTTGAAGGATAATAACATCCACCGCAGCAGAAGTGTCTCTCAGTCTCTCCATAAGTGCTGAGATACAAATGCAGTCAGGAAAGCTGCAGCGAGAAGAAATAATCAAATGTTACAATACAGGGAGGGGTCAGAGGTTGTTCTCCAAACAAGAGGCTGGAGTGGAGCATGAGGACCCGGCTATTTACAGATGATCTCAGACAGGAAGTGGAGAAGATGCTGGAATAACACTACACCATCATGTTATTATATAGATTATTGTGTGTATAACCATGTTATCAATGTTTTAATTCTGTACAAGCCGTTTGAAAGAGCTGCAGACCACATTTCACCCTGTGGCCTGTCTATGATATCTCTGGTATCTATGGTATATTTCGTATTAGTAACAATTGTGTACATTTGTGTCATAGAGATGGGACATTAGCTAAAAGAGGCCTATATGTAGATGTGAATCCAGATGGTCTCTGCAGATCGCTGCAGTCATAACTACATTTTTGAGTAGCTCGACCAAGCCTCGGTGATCCAAGATGGCGTCCTAATCAAATGAACGGCTTGTGCTCAGTGTCACATGTGTTGCAATGGGGACCAAAAGATTAGCGGAACTTGCCATTATTTGGGCATCGTCTGGTCCTCCCGGTTTTGCGCAGTGGACGAGCTCCCATGATGCTTTGCACCAAATATACGTGTGTAGCTCTCATGCACGTGCAGGGACTCGGCAGCGCTCTGACCAATCAGAGCGGGAGTTACAGCAGGAGACGATCAAGAAGAGTTTGTTGGGACATTTTTCTGGGTAGCCCACGTGAATTTAGTCTGCAGTACCACAGCGCCCCCAGTGGCCATGGGTGGGACAGCTATAAGCTAGTAATACACTATCCAGATATTATCATATATCCATGAGTTTGACAGTATTTACAAATACAAGTAACAAGTTACATACAGTATCTGTGGCTAAGATATTTTATTGATTACGAAGCGCAGCAGCGTCCTCAAAACTATCGTCTCCAGGACATCTCTGATGTTTGTACTTTACAGCGTTTCAGCTGCAAACACAGACTCATGTTTACAGGTCCACAACAACACTCTGGGTACAAGTGCGTAGGTGACAACAGACACACACACCCACACACACACCCACACACACACCAGACACGCACACACAGGTATACACAGAGGAAAGAAAATACAGGATCAGAGAGTGCAGAAGCCCTGGAGGAGTCCCAACATGTGGCACCAGGGCCATGTCTTCAAAAGTACCACACTTTAGTCGAGACAGAAATGAAAATAAACATGTTTTCAGACTTCTTTATAGTGATCCTTCTAAAAACTTCAGTGCAAAACCACATCACTTTCAGTAACAATGACACTTTCACCATGAAACATAAATGTTTTATAAAGATCTAAACATATTTTCGTTTTCATCTGACAGTTTAATAATCACTAAGATTGCATCGACTGCAGTTTGTTTGATTGAAAGTAGCTACTATACTGTATATCAAGCTTCTTTTGACAAGATTTTACAACTTAGCTGAATTTTTAATGGGAGTAGCTTCTGTATTAGCCTGGTCTTACCACACCATCGGACTCATTTCACACTAATCAATCAATCAATCAAATTTTATTTATTGAGCCCTTTACAACACTCAAGGCGACCAAAGTGCTTTACAATAAAATCACATAAAATGCATTAAAAACATCTGAATAAGTGTGTCTTGAGCCTGGATTTAAAAAGGCCAAGATCAGTGATGGTGCGCATTACAGGGGGCAGCTTATTCCAGAGTCTGGGTCCAGCGACTGAAAAGGACCGATCACCCCAACGCTTGGACTTGGTCCTAGGCACTTCCAGCAAGAGCTGATTTGACGACCTCAAGGACCTGCCCGAGTCACGAATAGTCAAAAGTTCAGACAGGTATGAAGGGGCAGGACCATTGAGGGCTTTAAAAACAAAAAGAAGAATTTTAAAATCAACTCTAAAAGAAACTGGAAGCCAATGTAAAGAAAAAAGGACTGGGGTGATGTGCTGACGTCTGGGAGTGTTTGTTAAAAAACGAGCTGCAGCATTTTGCACCAATTGAAGACGATTAAGACAGGACTGGGACACTCCACAATAAAGGGCATTACAATAGTCAATTCTTGAACTGATAAAAGCGTGGATGGTTTGCTCCCGGTCTGAGCGGTTTAAAAAAGGCTTTACTTTAGTTAAAACACGCAGCTGATAAAAACTTGACCTTGACTTGACAACCCCGAGGTTTCTAACCACTGGTTTGAAATTAGAAGACAACAAACCAAAGTCTGAAAAATTTGAGTCACCAAACAAAATGAAATCTGTTTTGTCCTCGTTTAAATGGAGGAAATTCTGCTGTAACCACAGTTTTATGTCAGATATGCAGTCCATTAGACATTTGACAGCATCACTCCTAATCAAGTATAGTTTTTCCATCACTGGAGTTGAACTGAAGCTCAGAAAAACAGTGACATGTATGTGGTCTGGACTCATTCTAAACAGACCAAAGTTTGGGGCAAAAGTGTCTATAAACAGACCAAAGTTTGGGGCACAAGTGTCTAAAAGTAACTTTGCAAAGAAGCTTGGATCCCGTGTTTATGTGGCGCCCGCAGGTGGCGGCTCCGCGGCTCCGCGGCTCTCTCCCTCTGTCTGTGGTGAACGATGGTCTGAAGAACTGGAAGAACCGCGCAGAAAGTTGGAGATGAATACTTCATCTGTGACCCACATAATGGCGTTATATGGGGCTCAGTGACAGAGCAGTGCTGTCGGGAAGAGGCAGCAGCGAGCGGCGAGCGCTGGGCTCCGTCTCCTCCGTCTCCTCCATCTCTCCTCCTCCGTCCGAGCTCCAGGAGGACAGCGAAGGACACAGCGGCGGCTGAGGGCGGCTGAGGGCGTCCACGCTCGGCGCAGGTCAGTAGCTTCTGCTTCATGTGGATAAAGATGTGCGTTGTGCGTCTGTGCCGCGTCTCTGCGGAGCGCATCAGAGTCACCTGCGGCTGAGACGCGACACAGCTGTGAAAGTTGATTTGATCCTAGACTTTGAGGACGCTGTAGATTATTTTCTTCACAAACATCGAACACCGAGAAACAGGAGAAGGCGATGAATCCTCCTGAGAGCAGCTGCTCTACAGCTCTGTCCAGAAGGTCATTGGTTCAGACTCATCACATCTGGATCCGAGGAGATTCTCCGTTTGAGCTGGATTCAGTTAAAGACAGAGAGACAGAGGGACACATAGAGACACAGAGAGACAGAGGGACAGAGAGACACATAGAGACACAGAGAGACACAGAGAGAGACAGAGGGACAGAGAGACAGAGAGACACATAGAGACACAGAGAGACAGAGAGACACGTAGAGACACAGAGAGACAGAGAGACACATAGAGACACAGAGAGACACATAGAGACACAGAGAGACATATTGACCTGTCTCTGTGTCTGTCTCTGTGTCTGTCTCTGTGTCTGTCTCTGTGACTGTCTCTGTGTCTGTCTCTGTGTCTGTCTCTGTGTCTGTCTCTGTGTCTGTCTCTGTGTCTGTCTCTGTGACTGTCTCTGTGTCTGTCTCTGTGTCTGTCTCTGTCTCTGTCTCTGTGACTGTCTCTGTGTCTGTCTCTGTGTCTGTCTCTGTCTCTGTCTCTGTGACTGTCTCTGTGTCTGTCTCTGTGTCTGTCTCTGTGACTGTCTCTGTGTCTGTCTCTGTGTCTGTCTCTGTCTCTGTCTCTGTGACTGTCTCTGTGTCTGTCTCTGTGTCTGTCTCTGTGTCTGTCTCTGTGACTGTCTCTGTGTCTGTCTCTGTGTCTGTCTCTGTGTCTGTCTCTGTGTCTGTCTCTGTCTCTGTCTCTGTGTCTGTCTCTGTGTCTGTCTCTGTGTCTGTCTCTGTGTCTGTCTCTGTGACTGTCTCTGTGTCTGTCTCTGTGTCTGTCTCTGTGACTGTCTCTGTGTCTGTCTCTGTGACTGTCTCTGTGTCTGTCTCTGTGTCTGTCTCTGTGACTGGCTCTGTGTCTGTCTCTGTGTCTGTCTCTGTGTCTGTCTCTGTGACCATGTGAGACCATGGGATGATTGATGCTGATGGTCCCTTTGTGACAGTTTCCTTGACACTAGTTTGGAGACAGAGACAGAGACAGAGACACAGACACAGACAGAGACAGAGACAGAGACGTAGAGGCAGTGGTTGCAGTGAAAGGTCGTGTATTGAGTGTGAGGTGCGTCTGTCTGAGCCGTGGACAGCCGCCTCCGAGGACATGTCCAGAGAGAAGACTGACAGCTCCGCCTGCTCCGCCTGCTCCCTGAGGGCCCTCACTCACAACTCGATAATAAATGTGCCAAATAACACAACTTTTTTAAATCTAAAAGCCAGACCAGGACATCTGCATCACATCAATTTGATATTTGTACTTTGTCCCATGTGTTTAAACATGTCTGAAGGGCTGCAAACTGTTAATGAACCACAAAGAATGATACAATATGAGAGTGGGACATAGAGAATTTAGTTTTTATCTTAATCTGACACTTTTTAAAATTGATTCTCCGATGGAACAAAGACATTTAGTTTTACTCCAATAACTTAATTTTCTTTTTAAAACAAGATAATTGTTATACTGCTATAGATAGATGTTGAAAATAAGATATATTTCACACAATTTGAGACAATTTCTACCTATTTTTCACCACTTTTTGCAGTGTATGTGTTGAGTTGTCTAATATTAGATTTGGCCATATCTGCAGGTGAAAGTCAGATCCCATCAGTCCTCTGTAGCTAAGCAGGGCAGTGTCTGGTTAGTGCTGTGATGGGAGACCTAAGGGAACAGCAGGTGCCACAGTGGGGCGGCTGTGGCTGTAAAGTGCCAAACTGCCGTTGTGTCCTTAGGCAAGACACTTCCCCCACATTAGAATGAGTCTGGTGTGTGTGTGAATGGTTGGTGGTGGTGGGAGGGGCTGATGGCGCAGACTGGTTGCCTCACAGTCAGTGTGCCCCAGGGCAGTTGTGGCTACATTGGTAGTTTATCACCACCGTGTTTGGAGGGAAGGAATAATGGCCTGTAAGGGGTCTTTGAGCGTCCAAACTTGTACTATATAAAACCAATGCATTATTATTATTAGATAGCTATACATCTGTTATACAATATATTTGGTTGTCATGTAAAGCAAAAATAAGAAATAAACCCCCCATTGTTGATATCTGGTCCCAGCTCCTCGGGAAAAACCCAAAACAAGTTCAAAACAGAATGTATTTTTAAAACAAGCGACCCACGTGGGAATTGTCCAAAGAAGTCGTTACAAAACATGGATTTTCTGTCTTTGAAGTGATCAGACTGAATAAAGAACAGATAGAAGAATATTCAAAACAAACGCATTCCTTTGATACAGAAGTGGGTCACAGACGGTGTATCGTCAGCCTGTCCATCTCACATCTGTCTGCTACTGTCGCGCTCAGCAAAGGAACCCTCGGGGAGTTTCTTTCCAATTTGCTGACAGCAGATAGGTTGCACTTTCTCTCTCTATCACATAATAATTACTTATAGGGCCACAGGGATTAGAACGTCCCTAAGTCCCCTCAGTAATAGAGCCAGGGCTTCTTCTGAGGCTTTAGCTTAGAAACGTATACACAGATACAGACGACGCCTTCTTACTGTAATAAACCTCACTGATACATTTCAAGCCTCACGTCCTCTTCCTCTTCTCCCTTGGCATTCCCTCTCTCACCGGTTCTTTAATATCTCTCTGGAAAGACAGCAGTGAAAGAGGATGTACAGTATGTATATGTGTGTACAGTATGTATGTGTGTGTACTGTATGTATGTGTGTGTACAGTATGTATATGTGTGTACAGTATGTATGTGTGTGTACAGTATGTATGTGTGTGTACAGTATGTATGTGTGTGTACAGTATGTATATGTGTGTACAGTATGTATATGTGTGTACAGTATGTATATGTGTGTATGTATATGTGTGTACAGTATGTATGTGTAGCACACTGCAAATGATATATGTCATGTTCAGTGTTGGGTAGAAATGTATTTGGTTCCAAAAAATTGAATATATAAACTACTATTTAAAAGAGGAGACTGATGGTGCGAGCCTTTTCTCCTTGGGCAGGTAGGCTCTCCATCGCTGGTGTCTCTCTCTTTGGTCTCTCTCTGGTCTTATTCTTGTCTCTCTCTGATCTCTCTCTGGTCTCTCTCTGGTCTCTCTCTGATCTCTCTCTGATCTCTCTCTGGTCTCTCTCTGGTCTTATTCTTGTCTCTCTCTGGTCTCTCTCTGATCTCTCTCTGGTCTCTCTCTGATCTCTCTCTGATCTCTCTCTGATCTCTCTCTGATCTCTCTCTGATCTCTCTCTGATCTCTCTCCGGTCTCTCTCTGGTCTCTCTCTGGTCTCTCTCTGGTCTCTCTCTGGTCTCTCTCTGATCTCTCTCTGATCTCTCTCTGATCTCTCTCTGATCTCTCTCTGATCTCTCTCTGGTCTCTCTCTGGTCTCTCTCTGGTCTCTCTCTGGTCTCTCTCTGGTCTCTCTCTGATCTCTCTCTGATCTCTCTCTGATCTCTCTCCGGTCTCTCTCTGATCTCTCTCTGATCTCTCTCTGATCTCTCTCTGGTCTCTCTCTGGTCTCTCTCTGGTCTCTCTCTGGTCTCCCCCTGGTCTCTCTCTAGTCTCTCTCTGGTCTCTCTCTGATCTCTCTCTGGTCTCCCCCTGGTCTCTCTCTGGTCTCTCCCTGGTCTCTCTCTGATCTCTCTCTGGTCTCCCCCTGGTCTCTCTCTAGTCTCTCTCTGGTCTCTCTCTGATCTCTCTCCGGTCTCTCTCTGGTCTCTCTCTGATCTCTCTCTGGTCTCCCCCTGGTCTCCCCCTGGTCTCTCTCTAGTCTCTCTCTGGTCTCTCTCTGATCTCTCTCCGGACTCCCCCTGGTCTCTCTCTGGTCTCCCCCTGGTCTCTCTCTGATCTCTCTCTGGAGTCTCTTGCTCGATCACCTTTCGTCCGGATCCTCGACCTTGGACCAGTCCACAGGGACCTTCCCGGGGATCTAAGGCTGTGGGGGAAGGGGTCGATTAAAAGTTCATGACTGTAGCTTGGAGACAGACCTAAACAATCGTTAAAAATAATCAGTTTAATAATCGATTCTAAAGTGCACAGAGGCGGTGGAGGGACACTAACACAGGAGTGATGTGCTCTCGTCTGTGAAAACCATTCTGGTTCTCCCCAAAACTGATCACTTTAAAGACAACAGCATGAGTCATGTATGAAAAACTATAATGTTGGTATTATTATTCATTAATTTGCTAAAAATAACACAAATTGCGCTTACTTTTTTAATGGCCTTTTTTTGTGATAAGATTATTTTATCTGTTTTAAGACAATTATACTTCATAATCTTAGAGAAAAAGTCTGAGAAGTGAGTTTTTAAGCTTGTTTTAAGTATTATTTCTTATTTCCAGACAGCTTTTCTTCTTTTTAGATAAAATAAATAATACGTGAAATGTATGTTTTTAATCTAGAATCAAGTCGTTTGGGGCTAGTATTATTTTAGTATTATTTTCTAATTTTCAGAAATCTTATCAAGTCATATTTTCTTGTTTTAAGCAGTATTTTTCCTATTATCATATATTTTTATCCTGTTTTTCCAAAGTTTTTCCCCCAGTGTATATAAATATACTGTATAAATATAGCACACTGCAAATGAAAAATGTATTGTGTTGTGTAACGTGTGTGTCTTTGTTGCACATCCATCCGTACGTGAGGAAGGCTCCGCTTTGGTCCTAAAGGTCTGTAACTCCGTCTCTGCGGCTCTTCTGTGATTAGTTCCACTTCAGTTTCTTCGTGTCTCCGTCTCTCTCACGGAACTCACCGTGATGTGCTGTAAGTGAGCGGTTATTACGGCGTTAATCAGCACAAACACGACACCAGGGTGTTGTCGTGTTGTTGTGTTGTCGTGTTGTTGTGTTGTCGTGTTGTCGTGTTGTTGTGTTGTCGTGGGCGGGGCCAGTGCTGA